AGTGGGACAAATATAAGACAAGGCCCAGCATTCATAACTAATAATAAGTCTCTGTGTCATGTTTTGGGAGCTGGTTGGTGGCCCAAAAGGAAGGCTGCTACACTGGGTAGCGGGAGCCCCAGGTTCTCTGCAAGAGTAGTAAGTGCTCTAAACTCCTGAGCCAATTCTCGAGCCCCACTGTTTTGTTTTGTTTTAATAGGGACTTAAACTGTAGTCAAGCTGGCCTAGAATTTACTATTTCACCCAGGCTAGCCTCAAATTCATGGCAATGTTCCTGCACCAGCCACCTGAATACAGATAATACAGGTGTGAGCCACTACACTGGCTAAATCCAGAATTTTATAGGTCTAGCATCAAAGTTTCTCTAGACAGAGCAAACAATGGACAGGGTCTCCTTTATCTACCAGTTTTTCTCTGTGAATGTTATGACCCAGCCTTGCTGGGGCTCGTTATACACCAGCCCTGACTCAGTGTGGGAGGGACTATGGCAGGACTTGAATACCAGCAATGCCCAGAGGCTATCTTAGACTATCACAAGTCTTCCTCTGTTAATTTTGTAATTTGTCTGTGGTTACATAAGCCCAGTTTCCATTTCCACCCACAAGGTAAATGCCTTTTAGAAGTCTTCACTCAGCTCAGCTCTCTCCACCGACCTGCAACCTGTCTATCCGGCTGCTGTGTTTGCACCTGTGCTAGGCTTCCCCACAATGACAGAACTGCTGAGGCTGTTTCTGTCTATATGAGGATTTATTAGGAGAATGTGCTCACGTGGTGATGGAGGCTGAGAACCAGGGGGGGGCACTTCTGGGGTTCACTGATTTGCACTTGGCCTCAGAATCAGGAAAGCGGACTCTGGGAATGTGGCTCAGTGGGCAGAGCTCTTGTCTAGCAAGCAGGAAGCCCTGGGTTAGAGCTCCAGGGCCACACAGACTGGTTGTGGAGGCACACTTCTGTAATCCCAGCACACAGGAAATGGAGGCAGGAGGATCAAGTTCAGAGTCACAGTCGGATATGTAGTGAGTTCAAGGTCAGTCTGACATACATAAGGCCCCTTCTCAAAAAATAAAAATGAAGTATCAGTAAAGCTGACAGTGAAACTTAGTGAGAAGCTGAGGTCCTGAGAACCAGGAAGTGGGGAGTCACTGATTCTCATTCTAAGACCAAAAGGCAGGAGAGCTTGGAGTTCTGATGCCAAGGACAGAAGATAGGGCTGATGCGGAGTTTTGTAGTTCAAGCATTCTACAGGGCTACATCCTCAGCTACACAGTACTGCGCACAAGCAAAAGTCTCTGAAGCACACCAGCTCTCCTTTGCCCAACCTGCTGCTACGTGGGGATGCTTTCCCTGAGCCCCAAGTCCAAGCCCAGTGATCCTGTAAATTCTCTTTAGAACCCATACTTCTTTGAAGCATGGCTCATGTTTAGACTCTCCTGCCTCGTGCTTGACCCTACCCTACTCTAGGAGTTCCTTGATGTGTTCACACTGACCGGCGCACACTGCAGTGCTCAGCATGTGTCAAAACAGCAGGGGCCTAACTTTGCTACCCTACCCCTCCAGCCTCACGGCGAGGGTGTGTCGCTTGGGGATCGGACTTTGGCACCTCCTCCAGGCTGGCAGGAGGGACGTGCTCTTCGGATCCTCTATCTCGGGCCTCTAGCCCAGCTGCGTAGCCTGCAAGAACCCACGCCCAGGGAGTGTCACTCCAGTCACGCGGGGCCTGGACGTCTCTGGAGAACAGTCCTGTCCGCTCCGGGCCAGGCATCGAGGGGACATCGGAGCCTCTTCACACCGCTCGAGGTGAGATTCCCGCGTGGGCGGCTGTGGGGGGGAGCAAGCGGGTGCCAGCCCTTTAAGATTCAAGCAATTCCGAAGTCTGAACAACAGGACTGCGGAGACGCACCACGATTGGTCTGTTTGGGTGTGAGCGTCGCTTAGCAGCAGCGAATGAGAGTTTAAGGTGTGCGCAAGCGCACGGCATCCTATCTCCTGTAACCCGGCCGCCGGTGACCTGCTCCCGGCCGCCGGGTGGGCTGCGGTGGCCGAGGCGGAGGTCGGCCGCGGGGCGAGGTGAGGCTGGCGGGCCAAGAGGGCGTGGAGAGGCGGGGTCGGGGTTCAGGCCACCTGGGACTCCCCGAGGCCGGGCCCCCTGCACCGCGCCTACCTGCTGGGATGCGCAGCCCGCTGAACCTGCGGCCCGGGGCGGGGCCGGGGCCGGGGCGTGTCTCGGGAGGGGCGGGGTGGCGATTCCCTTTAGGTAAGCTGAGCTCTAGTCCTGGCTCTTGCTTCTTTTGATAGCAGACTTTCCTTAGCCTGCTGGTCTTGCAGGACTTGGTTTCTTCAAGGCCTGGTCATCCCTGCACCGACTTTTCCTGGACTTGGATACCCCAGGACAAAGGACCTACAGAGCAGGGCGGGCGTCTAGCTTTCACAAAGCCAAAGCCACGGAAGGAAGAGAGCTGCCACTGATGAAAGGAGTTGGTGCAGTTTGTGGTTTTGTGACACAGGGTCCCTCGTAACCCGAGTTTGGCCTTGAGCTTGGGATCCTCCTGCCTCCAGCTCCCAAGCTCTGGGATCACAGGTGTGTGACTTCCATGCCCAACTTAGTTGGTGTGATTGGTGATAAGGTCAGAAAAACAAAAGCAACACACAGAACAGCACCAGCGGGTAGGGCAGATGTCTGTAAAAGTCTACAGGAAGTTTCTCCGGGTGAAGAGCACTTTAGGGAAATGAAAGTGGGGACAGTTTTAAGCGGCTTGACACTGACACGCAGGATTCAGTTGCACAGTAGCTCCCTCAGGAAGACGGTTGTACCTCTTAGTGTAGACACTACTTAATGTTTTACAGACAGCAGAGAGGACATCTTGAGGTCCCATTTCAGATCAAGCCAAGGGTGTCGTACACCTTTAATTCCAGCATGTGGGAGGCAGAGGAGAGGCGATCTCTGTGTTTGAGGCCAGCCTGGTCTACAGAGCGAGTTCCAGGACAGCCAGGATTACAACAGAGAAACCCTGTCTCTAAAAGCCAAAACAAAAACACAAAGCAAAACAACAACAACAAAAGGGATTTCAGATAAACTATGCCCAAAATGTGCGTGGCCAGACAAGACAGCTGACTTTAGAGCATAATGCAGTAAGGACAGGCGGTTTTGTTTTGTTTAAGAGACAGGATCTCTCTATGTAGCCCTGGCTAGTTTTGAGATCTGCTTGCCTCTTCCTCTCAAGTGCTGGGACTCTGGCACCTCACCCACCGACTTTGTTCTCTTTTAGACAAAGTGTCATGTAGCCTAAACTGCCTTGAACATGCCACTTAGCTGGGGGTGACTTTGAACTCCTGACCTTCCTGTGTAAGCTCCCCAAGTACTAGTATGATCATAAACCACCATACCCAGCTTCTTAAGGGGCAGGTGTAACAGGTGTCACCTTGGGCCTCCTTCGCTACCAACAAGACTCTGGATTTTTTTTTCTTTCAAGCAGAGTCTCACTATATCCTCAGCTGCCTTGGGATTGCAGGTTTGAGCCCCACACCCGGCTTCTGGTTAGCTGTTTGCAGTACTACTCTGGAGAAGGAAGTCTTTAGAGAAACAGTAGCTGTGATCCCAAAAGTTTGGTTTGGAGGTCCTCGTGCCATGGAAAGAATGCAGGAGTCTGGGATAGAAGCCCAGTTTTACCTCTCAATCCATAGGAGAAGCAGTTTCTTCTCCTGTGTAGTGGACCAGAGGAAGCTCTGAGCGCTTGCTAGCATTATCCATACGAAGGTCCCAGTTCCTCTGCATCCTCAGGAGATTGGGCTCAGTTCATCCTATGCAGTGGCTTACTGTTTGTGAATAATATGTGCATATTCTCTTGTATGCTTCAGATAATATATTCTTTACTTATAACGTCTTGTGCTTTATATGTGGTTGCTACATGGCATTGTTTAGGACATGATAAACCTATATATGTTCAATACAGATGCAGTTTTTTCTTTCTTTTTTTTAAAAAAATGTTTTCCTTCTGAGGTTGGATGAATCTTTGGGTGCAGTACCCACGAATACAGAGGTTGGGTAGGATTGCTTCTCAGACTTTGGGCTGAGATCAAGTGTAGAAGGACAGTTGTGATGTTACCCACGTCCTATCCAGTTCAGCTTCCTTCAGTTTTCAGTTCCCTTAAAGATGGTATGGTTGATCTCTGTTTCCCTCTTTACGCCATCCCCAAGCAACTTGGAACCTACAGGATCTCAAGTTAGGTAATCACGTCTCAGATCGTGTGGCTGAGAGTGAATCCATCATGGGTTCCCTGCTTCCTTAGCATGCTTTCCTCAGAAGTACTGTGCCTGTGGTGGGTGCTTATACTTGACTAAGTGTTTGTGTGCTAAATTTGGCTCATTTTGCTAGTTGACATTTGTATTTTTGCCCCTCCCCCACGCCTGCACGTTAGGGGGATTTGTGGGAAGCTATAGCGTAAAATGATAATCACAGAGTGGCTTCTGGTATAGGCACAAAGTCTATGGAAAAGAGCAGGGATAATCTGGTGTTTGGCAGTTCCCCACATGGTAAAGGGAATTTAGGGAGTGAGGGAAGTGGATTAAGATATGCCATATAAACCTGCGGTTGTGGCCCACATCTTTAATCCCAGCACTCAGGAGGCAGAGGCCACACTGGTCTACAGAGTGAATTCCAGGACAGCCAGGGCTACACAGAGAAGCCCTGTCTCGAGAGAAAAAAAAATGTGTTATATAAAACATGAGCAGGGACCTTTTGATTATCACCCATGCTTCTGCTCACACAGAACGCCATCCGTAGAAACCTTCCTTGTTTTCTCTCCAAGAGAACTACTGTGTGAGAATGCTCAAAATATGGTTCAGAAGTATGGCAGACGCGCTGCAGACCCACATTTCTTGTTTCCGTGAACAGAAAACTCGGTTCCTCATCCATCTGCTCAGCAATTCTTTTAAAAAAATATTTACATTGCTTGATTGATTGGTTTTTTGAGATAGGGTTGCTCTGTGTAGCCCTGGCTGTCCTGGAACTCACTCTGTAGACCAGGCTGGCCTCGAACTCAAAGATCCACCTGCCTCTACCTCCTGAGTGCTGGGATTAAAGGTGTGGGCCACCACGCCTGGCTTATTGCTTCCTTCTTTAATGGTATGTTATGGTGTGAGTCTCCTGTGGTGTGTTTAGCTGTCCATCTGTGGGCCATGTTCAGTTCTAGCTTTTGGTTAGTGAAAACCAAGATGTAAGGAGCAGCTGTATGCAGTCCTGTGGGGTCATCCTTAGCCTGTTCTGGGATGAGTTCCAGGAGTGACATTGTAGTGCCCATAGTTTATTCTGAATGTGGGTAATTTGTCTTTTCTTTTTCTAACTTAGTTATATTGGTTTCTACTCTATTCTGTCCTACCTTCTGCCTGGACTTTTAAAAATATATTTTTATTTATTTATTTATTTATTTATTTATTTATTTATTTATTTATTTAGGCAGTGTCTCACTGTGTGCCAGTGGCTATCTTGAAACTTGCTATGTAGATCAGGATGGCCTTGAACTCATGGAGATACCCTTGCCCCCGAGTGATGAGATTAAAGGTGTGAGCCACCATGCCCACCATGTTTTTTAGTTTATAATATTTCTGTGTTTATCTTTATATAGTTTTTTCCCATTAGTTGAGCTATGAGCAGGCTCTTACCCATGTGTTTTTGTGTGTGTGTGTGTGTGTGTGTGTGTGTGTCTTTAGAGAGAGAGAAATCGTCACAGTCTCCTGATAAAAGCATTTTATTATTTCAAGTTAAATGTAGAAACTTTCCTGTGGCTCTTCACCCTCCCACATTTATGGGTGTAGAAGGACAGTTGTGATGTTACCCACATGAAATTTTTTTTCATGTGCATTGGTGTTTTGTTTGCATGTATGTCTGTGTGAGGGTGTTAGGTCCCCTGGAACTGGAGTCATAGACAGTTATGAGCTGCCATGTGGGTGCTGGGAATTGAACCCGGGTCCTCTGGAAGAGCAGCTAGTGCTCTTAACCACTGAGCCATCTTTCCAGCCCCAGTTATGATTGTCTTGTATGTTTCCTTTGCATACAGGAGAACCACACCAGACACAGCCATCAGGCCTGCTTTACAAAGCTCAGTGGGAGAATGGTCTTTTATGTTTCTTTTATTTCTTTCTGCTCCAAAGTTCCTGCTTTTACAATTTCCATCTTGCTAAGTGAACTTTCTTTAGCAGTTTATGATAGTGGCACATTCTTTAGGTATTCCTTTAAGCATGCTCTGATTTTCCCTTCATTCTTTTCATTTTAGATTTCGTTTATTAATTGTGTGTCTGTGTGTGTGTGTGTAGGTATGTGCACATGAGGACAGTACCTGAAGAAACCAGAAGAGGGCTTATATCACCTGGAATTGGCGTTATAATGGTTGTAAGCCACCATATGGGTGCTGGGAATTGAACATGGGTCCTCTGTAAGATCAGCCAGTGCTCTAAACACAAGTCATCTCTCCAGCCTCCAGACTAGTCTTTAATGCAAGGCTTTCCTAGCTTTTGAGGCTGCACCACTCCTGATTCTGAGTAAAGGAAGCAGGTTTTGTTGTAGCCATGGGGTGTGTGACCTGTGCCCACTCCCCATTGGCTGCTCTTAGTGCTGATTCTTCCAGCACTAGGTCTGAGATCTGAGACACAGAAGGGTCCCATAACCCTCCCGTTTGCTCTCTTGCTTCCTTTTAGGACCTCTTTGTGATTGTTCTATAGCTGAGGTCCAGGGTTTTATTTGCACTCAGTAGGACCTGGGAAAGCCTTACTTTGCACTTCCAGGAACAGAGCAGCCACATCTCCTCTTGGTCTCCCATTTTTCTCTTCTGAGTTTTGGAGGTAGGGTCTCACTTTGTATCCCAAGCTGGCTTTGAACTCAGGGTCCTCCTCCTTCAGCCACTGGAGAGAAGGGACAACAGGCCTCCAGGCAAGCCCTCTTATTCAGTATAGATTGCCTCACGATAGCTCATGGCCCCAAGTTCACAAACATAAATCCCCACAAAGGTCAGCCCTCCCTTTATTACAAACTCTTTCCATCTGTTGAAGCATGTAGTTCTTTGCTTGCCATGCTGGAGGTTAGCCCCAGGGACCTTGTGCTTATGAGATGAATGTGCTACTACTGAGCTACGTCTTCCCACCCCAGGGTGCATGTTATTAAAGGAAGATGGTGTTAAAAGCACTGTCTCCATTTTTTAAATTCTTCCTCAGCTGGTGTTAAGTCCCTCAGCCCCCTCAGGCAGCTGCCATCTCAGTTGCTCAGACAGAGGTGACATAATTTACAATGCCACCTTTATTCAAGATACTTAGAAGGATTCTAAGGTTTCCATTCTTGGCAGCTCTCATATACCTGGACAGAGCTGAAGTCAGGACTTTTGTTTACCTTATTGAGGAAAAGCAGGTTTGGTCAGTCAAGTCTTATGGGTGAAGTTGAGGTCTTCTGGGTCCTTCTGAGAGCGGGCACACTGGTTCTCAGGATTATTGTCCCCTGGAAATGGCACCTGTTTCCTCCACGCAGCCTTAGCAGGCAACTAACACATGGTAGTTTTTGTTTTTCGTTTTTTGTATTTTTCTCATTTTCCAAGACAGGGTTTCCCTGTGTAGCCATGGTATGGCTGCCCTGGAACTCACTCTGTAGACCAGGCTGGCCTCGAACTCACAGAGATCCACCTGCCTCTGCCTCCTGAGTGCTGGGATTAAAGGTGTGTGCCACCACTGCCTGGCTGGTAGATGTTTTACACTGGGGTGCCTAGGGCTTGTCGTAACTCTTCTGGCATAGTTTTGATTTGTTTTTTCATTTTATTTTTTTTCGTCATGCCAGGTAAGACCATACTGACCATATGAGGCCCTTGTTTGGAATTAGTGTTTTGAACCCCAGGCCTGTTCTGTTCTCAGACTGATCCTGTGTTCTTCCTCTGTTTCAGTAGGACATTGTAAAAATGGTTTTAAAAATCAATATTGCAAACACAAAAGTGTGGCAGGTAGCGCCGTTTGACCTCCATGCCCAGTGCCCTCCTCACTGGGGTTGGTCTCAGCGTTAGCCATGTAAGGCTGTAAAGCCTACAGTGCCCTCTGGTGGTTGGCCTGGCTCTGCAGGTGCTGCAGGATATTTGAGGCATGGCTTTTGTTCTGAACAACCTTGTGTAGGGGAAGTGCAAAACCAGGGAGACGAGAAAAGTGGATATGTCCAGCCTGGAAGGTTTGGGGATATAATGGGGTTGAGAACTCCCTTGGTTTGGGTGTGTGTGGGGTGTGTGTGTGTGAGAGGGGGGTGGTGGTGGAGAGATTCCCTGTCCCTGAGAAGGGCACAGGTGAATAGAAGCCAGGAGTGGTGTTGGAGTAAGGTGTCTCCCGGGCAGTACCACTGGCGTACCACTAATGCCTCAGACGGTGCAAAGAGGACGTGCAGCATAGAAAGACCAGCTGAAGCTGCTTGGCCACCTGGCCAGTCCTGGATGCAGGGCTGAATCCTATGCAGACGTGCAGGAGAGTCCACAGGAAGACCTCCCCCTGCTGGGCTGTGTGTTTGCGCTAGCACAGGTTTCTGTCCATCCTGAGAGGTTCCTTTTCCTCATTTGCCAAAGACACCACAAGGCCCAGATCTGTTTCCTCTTGTTTTTTAATGTGTTCTCATAGCATGACCAAATATTTATTATCTTGCCGTGATGCGATTCTCTACCTGATTCCCTTCAGCCATCTGTGGGGACTCATCGGTTTGAAGACCAGCTTGGTATCGTACAGCAGAAATT